CAGACTGTATTTGTCTTTTGCCGAAGCTCAGACTCTGGCACAGGATCGGGAAAGTTGGAAGCACTGTCTGACGAGTCTGCCTCCGCGACCCGAGAGGAGAAGCGGCGATGGAAGATGAAGATGAGTAAATTATATTGATCTGAATATTGTCGACCGGTCCTTGCCTAGATCGTTCATTCCTCTAAGACGAGTGGTTCTTTTTTTTTGCAGGTGGAATGCATGCATAATTAAAAAGTTTTCACCATGTTGATGCAAGCTGTGGTTCCCATTCATTCTGTTCAAGTTTTCATTCATGATGTGCATTCGCTGTGCATGACTGGTGCATAAACAGGCTGTTATATTCTATTATGTTACGTTCTATTATGCAATCTCTGATTATTGCCTGCTTTGTGGCCATGGATGGTGAGAATTGTTGAGCGCACCAGTAGTACTTACTAATGTTACTTAAAAATGTATTGTTTTAAAAATAGGCATTTTTTACGTATCTAACGTTTTGGGATTTATTTAATATTTTTGCTTTCATAACTGTTTTCCTCGCCCTTACAGAAACAGTGAATTGAGATTTCACTGTGTTCCTTGATTTAGTTTAGGCGAACTTTCTGTGAAGTGTAGCAAGTACTGCAGGCTTTTGAGTTAACTTTTTTTGCTCCAGAAGAAGATTTATGAAAAGTGCAGTCTCAGACAGAATACAGCGACAAATTCAAAAAGCTTTCATTTTATTTTTTGACTGTAGCTGTACACAATACGGAGTGCGTCTTTTCGCCCTAGCAAAAGTCGCCTAAGTTTCTTGAATACTCAGTTTCTAGCAGGCGAAGTGTCAATAGTCCCAGTTTACTGTAACGAGTTGGAGGAAGCCATTGATCGTAGGATGAGGTTTTTTTTCTTCAAAGGAAATAAAGCTGCGTAAAGACACTTAGCAGATGATGCACGCCAAAATTCTTGCACGTTTCGCTATCATAGGTCGTATAACGGTGGGGGTCGTCGCGAAACCTACCGTTTAGCATACTTAGTTGGATGGTGGCAGATTTTGCCGTTGTTAATGCTTTTTTCAGTGATCATATAGGTTTTCTGACCCTGCGATTGCAATAACTACGATGGACTGTTAATGTAAAGAACAGTGCAATGTGCTCTGCGCAGAGTGGTATACACATCAGAGCAACTTATAAGTTTTATCTACCGGATAAGCCGTTTTGTTGCGCTACATGTAATAAGTCAGAACAAGAGCAGACTGGTTTAGCATACTCTATTAGCAGCCAAGTTGATAGTTATGGAGAAGTCGATATTTAGCTAATAATGTTCTTGTTCAGACAACTTCAGCGGCAGTGGCTAACAAATACCGACATCAACCGCTTTAGCTTCACTCTGAGAATTTGTGACAAATAAGCTGAATGACAACTTCGACGTTGACGCTGGCTGATCATCCTTTTGAACCTATTGTAGAAGACATTGTTTTCGTTATGTTTGCAGTTTTGTTCCATGATCGAAATGCAGTTATTCCATTTAGTTACGCTCTTAACGAACTTCCCATGACAACTGCCAAACGTGTAGTTTCATAGAATAAACTTGTTTTATGCTATCCTGCTGCAGAATTACGTGCCATCATACATGCAAGATTCTGCTCATATTTTAAAAAGTGATTTCTTTTTTAGTTTTTGCCAGTGTACATGCCTGACCACCGCGAACGTAGTGATGCATTGCTATACGCACGAAACGTACAGTTTCTAATGGCCAGGTATGCCAGCATTTGTTTAGTATATGTCGTAGAGTTCGCCAGCTTTCTCTGGCTGGTTTTGCTCTATACGTGAAAAAGATATGATTCGATTTAAACGTCTCATTTTCTGTCAACAAGCTGAGCAACGAGTGCGAGAAACAACCTGTATATGTTGCGAATAATGAGCTCAAGTCAGACTGAAACCAAAAAAGCTGATTAATGCATGGGCAGGACTTTCTTCATCTAGCAGCAGGTGATTCGATTCCGCCTATAAAAATAGGTTCGTTTGTACAGTACGAAAATTGGCTTTCTCTCCGTAGCTGAAGGCGAACGTGTTGCGTCAAACTTAATAACTAACTGTTGATGAATTCGCACCTTAGTGATTTGAGACGCAGCGAAACAGACGGATTGTAGTATTTACTATGACGGCCGACGTGTCAGCTAAACTACACTTGCCATCCTCATGACAAACAGTCGGTTGGATGCTTATCAATAAATCATGCGAAGCAATTCATTAAGCTTAAGTAAATGCCACGATATTTCTTCCAGACGTCGGTGAATAATCTGCGAAATGAATTTGATTACGCAGAGTTCGTACCATCAATGCGCCGATGTTGGTCCCATGTAGAGATTGCAACTGGGGCAGACTTAATTTTTTAATTTTCTGAACGACGACAGTCATTCCGTATGTAAAGATTGCGACAGCTCCTGAGTATCAAGCCAACGAATTTCTCCATCATTGCCGAAGAAAGTAGCTGAACAGGCTTACCAAATGTAGAAACCCATATCATTGTAACATTGAGGAGGAATTATACCCAAGTCAGATCTGCTAGAAGATGCCCCAACGCAGTAATGATTAAATATGTATCCAGACGCGAAAAGTCGACCAACAGTTGCCACCGTGGATTGGCCCCTGCGGTCCGCCTATTGAACACATGGACACTACAGCTGTCAGTACGGCTGTTGTTTTCATTGACCATCCAAATGCACGTTACCATCACGAATTTTGTTATTACGTTTTTGGCTGTATGACTTGCCAGACTCGTGAATAGTACTAGAGACGACGGACAAAACCGACCGGCGACAGAAGTGGTATGACGTAGTGCTGATCGGAATCGATTTCCACTGTGTTTATGGTTCGCTGTTGCGAGCAGCGGCTTTTGCCACCTCATGCGCAAGAATGGATAACTTTCGTCAGCAACGCCTACTGCCCATGAATTTACCCAGAAATGCTGTTTCAGACAGTTTTTGCCTTCAGTACTTAACGAATTTTCGGCCTAACTGTTGAGCCAACTCAGTTTCGTATAAGGTTAGTGGCTTCAGCAAGTAGTTTTGAATGCGTAAATCTCGTACGTCTGCTGATTTCTGGCCCATTGCTTTATTATTTACCTGTTTATTTGCAGGCACTTAGGGTTGCCTGCTACGGAGTATTCCGTTGAAGATGCCAGATACCTGACGAGCACTTATTCGACGAAGAGGTCTGATTTCTGGGATCTAGTCACGAAATTAGAGTTGCGTATTTTCGTTAGTTGAACCAAAAGTTTACGTGCACATTTTTATTTAGAATACCGGTGCATCAGTCTGCCAACATGTCTGAATTCCAAGACTCATGGGAGACTCTTCGTACCTCTTCCTGGTCGCGCTGCAACTACACTGTTAATTTCGACGACTTTGCGAGGTTTCTTAACCACGCACCTGACGATGATGTTCATCGACTTTTCAACATGTTCGATTGGGTAAGGCATATCTGTTTTGGTTTGATTTCGCCAGTAATAATACTGCTGCCCCACAGGATTAGAGCGTGAAGTAATTCTAACATCTTAATATAATATTCATAAAAGTCCATAGACTATTCTCGGGGCGTTCAAACAATTTTACAAAGGGTTTACTGATGAAAAATGGGCTGGATAAAAATACTGTGACAGTTTCGTTATTGAATAAATAGTTTTTAAGATCCCAGGAAATTTTAGCTCAATAATCTCTTTATTTTCGTTTCAAATCCTTATTGACTTCGTTGCTGTCAGAGAAAGACAAGTTAGTTTTTCGTCTCCTTTGATAATTTGCGTGTGAATAAAGTCCTTATAAAGGTCGTTTAGCCGCATAATCGCGACAGCAACTGATATTGCAGCAGCGACATGCAAGAACCTACCATATGAGTCGTTAATAGCCGATACTATAGAACTGTAGAAGAAACTAGAACGTTGATGAATAAATGAACAGTTAAGACGACTGATGACGTGTGACCAAAGGTTAAAGAGGCAAACTGCGCGATGTACATAGGTTTTTATCATGGAATCCAAGGAGGTACGTTTCTTGGCTGCAGACTGGTCCAAGACACTGTTGAATACTTGAAAACTGTCAAGCAGAAGTTATGTAAATAAACTTTTTTCTGTCAGGCAGTCAGATAGGACATAACAGTATTCATAAAAAGTGTTTATCACATCTGTGGCGCTGGTAAACGGACATCATGTTGCTGTTCTGGACGCTTTACGGCTGACAAATGAGAGACATATGGGGAAACATATCCCATATTTGTTTGTGGGATGCGCCTTATGGAGCTTAAATTAGCTCTGAGTGGGTCGAGACGTAATACAACCCTGAAGTGTACATCAGAAAACATTGTTGTAATTATGACAGTATGTGGGACGATTGCGCCACACCGTCCCTGTGATTCGTTGCGCGTCTCTTTCCTACTGGTTTCATCAGTGCCAATTGGGGTGAGTTGTTTGTTGAAATCAGTTAGGGCTAGTCAGAATAAAGTCGCGCTCCGTATTTCCAAGTGCTTTTTTTAAACGTGTTCAGTTCATTATTTCGGCGTTCCTTTCCGTATGATTGCTTTAGCCGTTGTTTGCATTTCAGCATTGTTCTGGACAGATTGATTTGCGTGAATTTCTTATCATGCTGTATTCGAATAGACTGACGTTGGAATACTTCATTGCGTGCTGCAAGGTATTTTGCCATTTTTACCATTATTGTCGTCAACCTGTCTTCTATAGATGTTTACCGAAAACGGCAAACCGCTTCAGGAGTCAGATTTTGTAAAGATTGTCCGGTTGCCTTACCAGTTTTCCGTCGGCAAATGTAAGCGGATATACTCATTTGGTCTATCCAAATCCGTGAGCCATTCGAACAACAGCAGTGGTAGCGCTTGTATTTCAACGTTTACATATGGTATAACTTTCTCTGATTTCAAACTTCAGGTAACTACGAAAAGCAGATCCTACGTAGCAGTCTTGCAAAACTAAAAATGATTCGCGACTCGCCTGCTGCAGTCATCAGTAGATTTCGGTGCGTCGAGGTGCAATGAACTTTTCGTTGCCACTTATTCTTTCGACATTTTGGGTTATTTTCATTATATTTTATTGTACATCCTTCGTGCAATCTTCTACAGAGAACTGTACATCTTTTGTGCAATCTTCTATCGAGTGTTGTACACCATTTATGCAATTTTCTGCGGTTTTATTTTTTTTGAAATTTTGTCTCGTTGTCGTTGATTCTTGCTTTCTGTGTTATTAAGTTCGCTGTTGTCCTGATGGCTGTTAATAGTTGTTCATGTTTTCGAACTGGGTATGTTTGTCGAAATGTATTGTCGATGGCTAATGCATTCTGTTTTCGCCATTAGCAGCATTTTCACTAACAGTGATGCCAGCTTTAGATCTTTTTGTCGTTTTCTGATGTTCCGGTATTTTACTGTTTCTCAGTAAATATATCAGAGATAGCAAAATTGAATGCTGCGATGCAGCAATTAATGGCGTTCTGTCAATTACGCCTCTGTATTTATCATCCTTTGCACTCGTTAGTCTGTGTTTCATATGGACCATGGTTTCATTCAATGTATGAAGTTGCACGGTCACATGCTATAAGACAAAGTTTCCCTTTATTTTTATTTGGAGTAAATCTCGATAGTGAAAGTGACTGTTTGCTGCTGAATTGTAACCGTGAAGTGATCATGCACTCTAGCCAACCTTGAAAAACATTCGTTAATTTAGCAACAAATACACAACAGTGAAACAGGACAAGCTTCAACATTGACGAGATTTAGCGCTCCACTGATGGGGTTGTTGGACTACAGTCACATGGTGCAAACAAAGACAAACTGCTTTAACGCTGAAATTTCTTAGAGCTTGCAATAATTGTGAATTCAAACCAACAATTGAAGTGGTTAGTCGGTCATCTGAAATTGCATTTCTTTGAATGATCAAAAGAGCAACGGAGTATTGTTTCTTCCATGCTGCAAACGTGTTCTGTCAGTATCAGAATCGGTTGCGACTTGGGAATTAGATGTGATTGGGCTCGCTACGTCACAAATTTATCGTCAAATTTCCGCATTTTTCGATTACTCTCAATTCGGTTCTGACTTCACGGGGATCTGATTGAGTTAACCGTAGAAGCACCCCCCCCCTGTGGGGTGAGACAACAAAGTGCGACCTCTTCAGTAAATCCTATCGCGACCAGAAGCTCAAGAAGCGCCTCCCTTATGAATCTGAATGGGCTGATCGAAGGTTGGCACTCAGAATTAACTGCCTGCGAGACTCGCGAAATTACATCACGGACGGAAGAACACCGAGGCCGCAAGCACAGGATACTGTGTCGACTTGCCAAAATCTGGAAATACCTCAAATCCTGTAATGTTCAGTACGCGACCGGCAAATGGCAAAATGACATAATCAAGATCTTCATGGTTATCAGAAACACCAGAATTCTGTCACCAGACGCGATTGTCGACATCTACATCGCCTGATGAAGAAGACCATAGCAAATATTCTTGGATTGTACGAAACCCCAAGATTCGCTGAACTTATCGCAGAATGGAACAACGACAATGAAATATCCTTTCGCGAAGCATATACAAAATGGAAACGGGCAGACAGTATACGATTCCTCACAAAGAAGATGGCTGTACTATTCGTAATCGACTGCGACCGCGTATCGCCGTGTGAATTCTACGGATAGGCAAGAGGAGATCACTAGAAATCAAAGTTTCCAAACCAACAGAGCAAGTGGACGAGGCGAAGTGGATCAGTTTTACGATGAACCGAAGGGCGCAGTGCAAAAGACGCTCAAGTATGCAATCGACCACGGAGATTTCAGCGCCACAGTAGAAAAGGAAACAATCGAGACAGGATTTCTGTGCCGGTTTTAAGTGGAGAGCGAAACAAACATGGCTCTCGCCTCGCACAAAGTAACCATCGCCATATCATGAATACCATTTTTGACAAATCTGAGCAGCGACATTGGACGGGGAGATGCTCTAATGAAACGAACTTTAATCAAATCGACTGCGTGTTGACGGACACAAAGCAGGTAATAACTGATGTGTCTGTCATGTCATCTGTCATAAGAAAACATCGTCTCTACGTGGTCAGACCAGAGATTACTAAGCTCTACAGTCATAATCGATGTCCCTAAAGAAGAACGACACTAAAACCGCCGTCCATTAAACGAATGATCGGTCCTGAAGCTTTCTCAGATGAGTTCACTCAGCTGAACCTAGCTGTAGACATCAGCAAAGTCATCGATGAAAATTGCTGGAATATCGTTGATACGATCAAAACTACTATTCAGTAATCCAGCCGGGCATCAGTATCGATGAGGAAACGATGCACCAAGCAAAGAGGTAGCTGTTGGCAAAAACGAAGGGTAATGGGCCACTGGATGACGAGAACACTATGCTGTACAAAAAACAAAAAATTTGGGAGGATTATGGCGAGTATAAAAAGCGAAGCTAACGGAGCTCGTATAAACGAACAGCCAGAAGGCCGCGGAAAAGGTTATCCTACCATAAAGCGAACTTCGGCAGCACTACAGAAAAAAAGAGGAGGAGCAAGAAAACCATATGCTACTGTCGCATGAAAAAAACCTGCACGGGTCCACAACAGCCTCGACTCATCGAAGGCAGCAGTGTACCAGCAGCTGCCGCTTTGCTCCGGAAATCGTTTCTGATGTTAACTGGAACGAAGTGGAGTGGGCAGTAAGGGATATTAAAGGTGACATAAGTACCGGCAGGGATAGAAAAAAAAGCCGGAAAATACTGCATGTCAGGAGGAATGATCATGTTCAAAGCTTTTGTTAAACAAGCTTTAGAGTACATCAAGCACCAAAAGCATGGAAATGCTTTTCGACAATTTTTCCATTTAAGAAACGTTATGCTAAAGACCTCCAGAACTATCGAACCATTACTTTTCTGCCGCAAGCCTAAAAGAGCCTCACTCGAATAATCTCTAATCATATCCGTTAAAGCATGGAACTGCTCGCTATAAAGAAGCCTGTTTTCGAACAGTTTTTTTTATCACAGACCCAATCGACATCGTTAATATCAGTTAACAAAGAAATGCAAGAAATACAAATTCTCCCTCTGATACATGTGCCAACTTCAAGAAACTGTTTAATTCCATCGAGCTAAACGTTATACTGAATCCCTTGCACGGCCGCTTATTAACATTTTCAGCAACGGCCTGATCGAGGAACTGATTGTTGACACCGCAACCGACACGAAGCTGTTAAAAGAACTATTTCGAATTAACATCAAAAGAGGAGCACGCCAAGAAGACATCATCCTCCCTAGAATTTTCGTGACGGCGCTGAAATTCCTCTCTAACTGTTTGAACTGGGGCGGCAGCATGAACTGATGGAGAACGGTTCTCAAATCTGCTCTTCGCAGACAACGTCATAATCTTCGCTAAAGACCCCGCAGAACTCCAAACAAAAATTCAGCTTTTACAGAAGGAATCACGTGCTATCTATCTGAAGATGAATGTCACTAGGAATAGACACGTATTGAGTACTGCCCCGAGAGTATATCTTCACTGACGACAAAAAGTGGCAAAAATCGTTACTACGTATAATTCGGCTACCTAACAGATTAAAATACAACATCATCCACGAAATCAATAGACAAAGGAAGGCGGTATGGTTAAGGCTCAACCACATCGAAACTCCGCTGTTGTATAACGAATTGCGCATACGCGAAGAAATAATCGATCGACTCCGTCGTCCTACATGCTATGATTATGGCGCATGAAGCTGGTTTACAACTGGGGCTGCGAAAAAAAACTAATGGTAACGCAAAGGAAAAAAGAAAGAAGAATATATCAGGTTATCCTTCGATACCATCTTCTAAATGCAGTAGTTGGGCGTCGAACATGATTTTAGGATGTACTAACTGCCATCTAATACTCGAAGAGACAATGGGCTGGTCTGAAGTTTGGAAGCAGATGACGTAACGTCGACTGGCATCTGCATAGCTGCCGTAATCGAAGAAACGTCTTTTAGAAAAAATTTTTGAATCTCCGCAAAATTTAACACTCATTCACGCTTACTAGGGTTGATTTGTCGATTTTTTTAGATATTTAGAAGCTGACAAACGCGTATCGGGGTTGTTTCACTGCCCACAATCTGCAAACGTATTCGGCAGTACTTCGGCAAAAGACAAAAACCAATAAATTTCCTATTGCTTCAAGAACATACGCTTCACCCATCGGCTGGGGCAAAAAAGTCTTTTCCGAATCACTTTATTTCAGAATATGGCAATGACCATTTTAATCTTTGCTGTGAAAAATTAGTCGCTTATTTTGGCGTTTGTACTTTTCTAGGAGGGTTTGAGACAGCAGCAGGTTGGAAAAAGTGAATTCCAGCGGTGAAGCACGTGTATCACGCAGAAACGGAAAGCAAACATGGCTCTCTGACTCCTGTAGTATCATTTTTGGCAGCATCTATACTTCGTTTCAGTATGCATTTATTTGAACGGTTCTTCAATAGCTTGATTAGGGGGTTCAGTTAAAAAATAAGTGAGAAGTGAGTACTTTTAATGGAGACGCTAACCGCTAGGGTTTATTCCCACTGATCAGAGTTTGCTCTCTCAATATGGTCATCATTCGCTGAATGAGAAAATGGATGTAGCCACGGAAAACTGCTCCAGATTTTGTGCAGCACATCTTTTATCTTTTGAATCATTTGACTACAGCTTGATTCGACTGATCCTCGCAGCTGCTCCAGTTTTGGTTTATTGAAGTTTCATCGACAACATGGTGTGTTATTGTTTCGTCAGACTGTGAGCCAAAACAGCATAAACCACCTGAGATCAAGGACAGAGACCACAGGTTTGGGTGTTCTACATGATGAAAACAAACTGAAACGTTGTCGTGCTGACAGCCTTTCCTTGTACCTATTTCTAATCTTCGATCATCCGTGTTCTTTGCATTAGATACAAATGCGAATGCCGGGTACGTCTCATGCTTTCCTAAGCCACTTCTGTAGCTAAAAGACAGAGCTTGATGCGAAGAGCCTAAGACTATTTGAAATTTTGCTAAAAACGATATCAGAGGAATTTGATGCCTTCAAAACAAATTTTTCCAACCCGCTTTCGCGTTTATAATTTTCGCAAATCAGAATTTAACCATCGACACCCGCAATCTGCGAGCATTTCTTTCTAGACATAAAAATGCCCTATGTTATCAGAAAATTATGGTATCAAGTCTACGTTGTTCAGAAATCATATTGAAAGTTGATTCGAATGGCGCTGGGAACAATCTGACTTGCTTCAGTAGAAGTATCATGTGATAAAATAAAATATTCGTGCAAATTAAATTTAACTGCGGCACCTATTGTTTCATTAAGCTTGTTCTGTAAAATCTAGTAAACTTTTGTGATTAACCACCTGAATCTTAAATAAGATCACTGATATAGATTTATTGTATTTTTCCGTATATGCTCTTGTTAAGCTGTTTTATATGTTAGTACCTCATGATCAGCCGGTAGTAGCGAATTTAAGAGTACAGAAATTTTAAACATCATCTGCGCATTGATCGAGGTTAAGCGATCATCCGTGAGTGTTCGCAGCTGAAATCGTAGCGATGGGAAAGCTGAACGTTGAGCTAGCTCGCTACCTCGTCGGCGAGGATTTTCGTTTGCTAACGGCGGTAGGAATTTGATTGCACCGTGTCGCAGGTATTTTTACCATGCAAAGCTTTTTAGGTAGAAATGGGAATGAGAAATCACGAAGTTGTTCCTGAAGCACTGCTGGTTCCACTGGCAAATTTAAGGAACGGTAGTGTCCGACACAAGCTGCTGGGTTTGGTGCAAAATCGACTTGTGGCGTACGAGAGAAGCCGTAAATGTAAGTGCCGCGGTTCCTATGAATTTAATTGAGACTAACTTTCTCGAACGCATAGCAAATAGTACTGACAATTTTCCAAGCTTCTGAAAAGCTACTATTAAGATTTTTTATTCTTCGTTGAAATCCATGGCAAATTCGTTTATATTCATATAAGTTAATAAATTAACAGGTGTAGCTTTAAAATGCCATTGTTCTCTGGATTTCTGGCGACATTCATTGTTTACGTTTACGACGCAGTTCCTGTCTCCGTTACGGTATTTGCAGTTGGTAATGCCTTATGTATGAAGATAAAATCTGCAATGGTCTGGTAACCACATGCTGTAACTTCTTGCTTCCTTCGTGCGCATAATGATACCTTTTATTAACGCTTAAAAAGTGCTAGATTCTGTTTGTTGAGATCACTACCTTAAGCAGGAAATCTCTGGTTTGTGATGTCCGTTGTATCCACAGCTTTTCAACTCTTTTGCTATAAGGCACCGGTTACTGCATACTAGGAACGTTAGTAGGAACGGTTCCTCTCCAAAAGCAGATCTGGCTCTACTGTGTTTTTCCATGTTGCATGCTGACCTCCTGTTTGACGTCTGCCGTTTTCCGGCGCTCACAGGAGAAGCTAACGTCTTAGAGTAAATGATGTGTGGCTCAGCCAGCTTGCTAACAAGGCCCTCCTCCTTTTCTTAATCTCCACATCTACCGGGCTAACTTTTGCTCGGATGAGAATATAGTCGTTCCTACATTATCCTGTTATTTAACCCTCACTATATGGTACAGCCAGCGCTGCTGTGCGCAGTTTAACCCTGGTTCTTGCTCATTTGTTACAACAACTGTCTCCTTGCCGTGCAGCAACACTGGCCTGACTGACGCATGGTACATGCAGATTTTTGTAGGAAAAATAACTCCTGTCTCAGCCCAAATATTGGACAGGTTGTAAAAAGCACTCGATTCTAGCGCGATCCTTCTGTGGAATTCTGGCTGGATAGTGCCATAACTGGAGATGTTCGAATCGTGATACTTAAATTGGTCAACCTCTTGAAGCGCTTCACCTCCCTGTTTTACCTTACAGATCAGCTTGGCCAGGTAGGTTCTTCATAACTTTTCACTTCCTGGCGTTAAGGAAGATGCCGGCTTTTGCTGCTGCATTGCATAAGAAAGTCTTCAAGCGACAGACCCTATTTTATGTGCTTTTCACCAGTACAGTAACATTTGCCTACGTCAGGTCAGCAAGATATCTGGCAGGATATGTTGAATTACGCCTTTAATTTACATTGATAGGCTCAGCATTATTTCGGAGAATGATGTCGAGAATACTGTTGAATAGCAGAGGCGGAAGCACATCTCCTTGGCGAACTCCACAGTTAATAGGAACCACTGAAGTAGCTTTCCTCCAACTTTGATAGCAAACGGTTTCTACATAAATCTCTTCCAAAAAGGAAACGATGTGCTCAGATATCCAATAGCATTTTAAGATTTTCCACATCCCCGGAAGATGTAATGATTTAGTTGCTGGGATTGCCGATTGTTGGATGTTTAGGTTCATCGGGGACGTCCCTGAGGTAAAGAGTTTAGCCGACGATTAAGCTGCTTGTCCCGCAGGAGCTTAACAGACGCCTGCCGTTGCTTTCACCCAGCAATTACCACAACTGTCGAGTATGCCTGGCCATGTTCTCTACTTTTCGCTAACCTTTGCGTTAAGGTAGCATGTAACAATCGTGATATCGTCACGCGACAAAGCGCCAAACAGCCGACTGCAAGCAGGCATAAAAAGCGTCTTTATTGCTGTCACTCAGCACATTTTTCATGACATTCAGCGTCGTCTGTTTGACATTTAAGCGATAGATCTGGATTCGCTCCGACACTTGTTCCACAGAAATGACCGTCCGGCTTGCTCTAGGGGACAACGGGATACCCATATCGGCATGGCGTAATGTACTGTGGTTTTACCAACTAAATGTTCATATATCCTACAGGAGAAGCATCCCCTTCTCCGGGAAGCGAACTTCTATGACCGCCAGTACGTCGAGTTTGTACCGGCGGGCCTTACGACAGACATAATCTGACTTAAATTTGCCAGATAAGGAACGAACATTCATACATACTACCTCTTCTAATGTTGATTGCTGAAGTCACGGATGGAAGAAGGAGTACTTGC